GGAGAAAAAAAAACTAATATGGACCTCCTTAAGGCAGCAAGCTGCGTTTTCTTTCTCATCTAAATAAACCATGAAACTGTGTCACTGTGTGGGTAGCCATGGCATGATCAACTGTGGTTAAACATTGGTTTTCACAGGGATTTGTCTTGTTAAGAGAGGGACAAATTGCACAAGCACTGACAAAGTAGGACCATGAAGGTGGTGAAGGGCAAAGGCTTCCCAAGAAGGCAAAAGTACAAGAACAAATATAGCTGGAAGCAGCGATTAAAGGCAGTCACATGGCCACCAAGACATTGTGATGATTTTGAACAGGAAAAGGGAGAGGAGTTTCAGGAGAAATAGATGCCTAAGCATCACTGATATATGGCTACATAATACAGAATGAGCAAGGCAAAATCTTTGAAGAAATACTAATTTGCTTTCATGCCACTCTCCCTATCCCTCTCTACATTAAATATGAAGCTACAACCAGCAGCCAGTTAGTTTAGCTTCGCATAAAGAATGGGTAAACAGGTGAAACAGCTAGCCTGGCTCTGTCTGACAGAAAGAAAATCTAGCTACCAGCACCTTTACAACTCATTAATTAACACGTTGTTTAATGGGTACAAAAACTAAAGTGTGTTTTGAATGTGTTTTTTATGGGTGCTTGTGTACCAGATTATTTCTTGGCCTGGAGCCTCTGCTGGTTGTCTGGCAATTTAATGGTGACAACAAGAAATTTTCAAAAAAGCAAACTATTCGTTCAATGGAAGATAGAAACTATTTCTTTCAAGGTAATAGATGCATAACCAAAAATAAGCTATATTAATAATAAAACATCTACAAGGCCACTCAAAAATGCGCAGTTTCACTGTATTGGGGGGTCCGGAAACCAGTCAGTATCTGGTGTGACCACTATTTGCCTCACGCAGTGCAACACATCTCCTTCGCGTAGAGCTGATCTGGTTGTTGATTGTGGCCTGTGAAATGTTGGTCAACTCTTCTTCAATGGCTGCGCGAAGTTGCAGTCAGGTCGAGACCCCGATGAGGACGATGAGCATGCAGATGAGCTTCCCTGAGACAGTTCCTGACAGTTTGTGCAGAAATTCTTGGTTCCTGGTTATGCAAACCGATTGTTGCAGCAGCTGTCCGGGTGGCTGGTCTCAGACGATCTTGGAGGTGAAGATGCTGGATGTGGAGGTCCTGGGCTGGTGTGGTTACACGTGGTCTTCGGTCGTGGGGCCAGTTGGATGTACTACCAAATTCTCTGAAACGCCTTTGGAGACGGCTTATGGTAGAGAAATGAACATTCAATTCACGGGCAACAGCTCTGGTGGACATTCCTGCAGTCAGCATGCCAATTGCTCCCTCAAAACTTGCGACATCTGTGGCATTGTGCTGTGTGATGGAACTGCACATTTTCGAGTGGCCTTTTATTGTGGCCAGCCTAGGCGCACCTGTGCAATACCCATGCTGTCTGATCAGCATCTTGATATGCCACACCTGTGAGGTGGATGGATTATCTCGACAAAGGAGAAGTGCTCACTAACACAGATTTTGACAGATTTTTTTAACAATATTTGAGAGAAATAGGCCTTTTGTGTACTGATGAATGGGGCAAATGGGTTGCGTTTATATATTTTGTTCAGTGTGTAAGACCATACAGTGCCACTGTGGATCAAAAACATGGAGTGGCAATGTGTCCTGTCCTGTTGTTCAGAACTTGAGTTAGATTTCAGCTGCAGTCCTCCCATCTCTAACACAGAGGTTATGTGTGGATTGTGGAGACTAGATCATGTGTCTACAGATGATCACTGTCTTTGGCTAGGTGTTCAGTGTGACGTTGAAGCTACTGCAGACCTTAACAGAAGACCATCATTAAGAGAAGTGCCTCAACCTCTGTAGCCAAATCATGAACATGGTGAAGTAGCATCTAACAAATTCAGACTGGTATGACTTTGTTAACAGGGAGTAAAGAAGTTCACTACACTACTTCTGCTGTTCCAATAGGTCATAAACATAAATATGAAAGTTCCCCTGCTGGCTCAGCAGGCACTGGAGTTGGTCTATCGATCAGCTTACCAGAGCTGCTCCATTTCTCTGACTTGACATTTGAGGATAGTTCTCAGTTGTTCTCATATATTTTAAGAAATAAGATGTGTCAAATAAGTAATAGGCTTCTATCAATGGCTTTTCCCCCCAACTTGTTGCGAAAGACTTGTCCTTATGTCCGTACAGTTGTGACTTTTCCCAGTATATGATGGCCCACTGAGACATGTTGGACAATGAGGTCATGGATCTGATCTGGTAATTTAGCAATGACTCGCAAAATTAAATGTGCTTATTTGTCCAATAAATATCTCTGCAGAAGTTCAATTTGTCAATTGATGAATGTTTCTGTCTCTGTCTATATATATAGTTAATACATCCAATGACAAAGGTGAAAAGCAGTCCTGGAAAAACCACCCATCCTGGGAAGTGAACGAAACTATATAATTACGGTCTGTAGTCATTATACAGCACAGATGCCATCTCCATCATCTCTAAAATGTGACAGTGACAAAAACCCAAGGGCAGAGAGGAGCCTAAATGAGCACCAAGATGACATTAGTTCACAGAGTATATACCCCAGTGTCTGGGGAAACTTGCCAGCAGAAGTTCAGCAAAATATACATTGGAAAACAAAGTTGACAGAGGAGTGACTGTGATTTCAGCTAAATTGGTGTGTGCGTTCTCTGGAAACAAACATCCGGCGAAATGCAGCAGGTGACACATCCTCCAACAAAGGAAGGTGAGCCATTTTATGCACAATTCAATCAATTTCTTATTGTTTTTTATTATATGATTGAACTTCAGTCTTAAATTGCTTAAATCCACACCCTTGCCCTTGGTAAAATGTGTAATAATTGTCCTCAGCTTGTTTAAATTAGTGTGCTCATGTTTTTCTTATAGTGTATGTTGATGTCACTTTTATGAATGCATGTTTGTCAGCTAAACTATAACAGTAGTATCTATAATATTAATGATGTAAATTATATTCATCACATTTTTATTTAGCCTGTTTAGTTGGTTTATGACAGTCTTTCACTGCTGATGGCAGGATTCTCCTGCATCAGTACCAGTGATAAATCTGTTATCACTGGTTAACCTGACTGACTCACTGTGGGACTGAGATGCCAAAGAACTCTCAGCAAGGTTGGATGGCAGACAGAGCAACGCTCTGGCACACCCAGGTGGTGACGAAGTGGAATGGCAGATGTAATGTACCTGCAGAATTTGTTGGCTTCTTGATAAGTGAAAAACAGCTCATATACTGCATGTTACTCTGTATTTTCATTTATTTTGGAGTAGGCAGACTCAGTTAAGCAGACATTTGCGATAAATATTTATACATAGACACTCATGCAAAGCATGTACACTACACTTTTGAGAAATTTTAATAGTGACATTCATTCCTTAAATCCTAACATAGACCTAAACACATACAGACAAACTGATGCTACCACTCTATACTTTCTAGGGTGGACACACTGCAAAGATACCCCAAAACATAAACGCACAGACATACTCTAGTGAATTGTGTGCTTAGGTAGCAGAAAGCCCTGGCACTGTTCATTAATCACTATGTTGAGGTTTTGATGCCACAGCAGGAATGGAAATGCTGGTCTGACTCTCATAGATATACTATACTGCCTTCATCAGCTTCACGAAAGTCCAGAGCTTGGAGAAGTTACACTCAGGCAAGACTGGTCATTTGCAGAAATAATATGTTTATATTTCTGAAACAGTGTTTCTCATTTATGTGTTTTTAATAGCTTTAGGGCAAAAATTGGATCTTAAGGCACAGAATATACTGTACACTATATAAGGTTTGGCCACACAGGCAGTACTTGTTAGGAGGATCAGGTCAGTTTATTTATTTATCACATTTAAAGACAACAGGAGTTCAGCCAAAGTGCTTTCCAGATGAGGCAGATGGGTTAGAATCTGCCTCCATACACGTATACATGATAAAAGGAATAAAACATAATGTTATACAATAATGCATGGAAAGCAAGACTAAAAATGGAAACCTAAAACATCTTACATTATAAAACCTGAATCAAAATAAAGCAAAATAGGAAGATTGATTGAGCAGGTGCTATCAGGTGTAAATGGTAGGTAAAATTGTGTGTCATCCACATAACAGTGGCACAGAATTTCTTAAAGATAGAGCCGAGGGGAAGCATGTATGATGAGAATAAGAGGCCCTTAAATTAATTGTTTCTGTTGGTTTCTGTTTTAGTCTACATGAGATGTGTTGGCAATAAGACAAATCTAAAATATTAGCAGACTTACCCTTAAATTGTAACATATTATCTTATTATTTATTAACATACAGCTGACATATTGCAAACAAAGGCAACTGTTCAATGTCTATATACAGGGCCCATGTAAACAAAGTATCAAGAAATATTTGCAAAAGCTGAATAATTATTAAGATTAGCAAGTGCGTCTCCCCGTCTCAACAGTTAAGGACTCATAGCTCAGTGGTTCAAGTGGTGGACTTGAACAGGTTGCAGGTCTGATTTTTACACAGGGCTTTTGTCATTGTCAAGCTCTTGATCCTCATTGACTGTGCTGGTGCCTTTATTCTTAGTTTTTGCATATTAGGGATCATTAACATGAGAAATTCACTGGTACTCATTCATCAACTTTGTGGGAAAATATACCATGGAAATGATCCTGGATGCCTGCCATGTGTGATTAATGAGACATCCTCACTGCCAATCAGAAAGGATTTCATACATCAAATGCAGCTGTGGAATTAGAACCATGTGGAACCAATTCTACATATGACCTATGAAATTAGGCCTGCTTTGTGACTCTTGGCAAAGCAACATTTTCATAGCTTACATACATGAAGGCTACTGCATATAAAATTCAAGAAACAGCAGTACAGTAGAGCAGGTGCGGATGTTTCTGTTTAAGGCACTCATTGTCAAAAGTGTGAATAAAGGTTGTCCTATAAGCAACATTCAGCCAGCAATTTTGTCATTTTAATCAATGATGAACATTTATTTTTATACAAACAGCATACAATCAAGCACAGATGAACACTAAATAAATTCAAGATAGCTTAAATGGGCTAGACAGATGTTCTACCACAAGGGGGCGTACAGCATCCTGGCAAGTGATGCTTTGTTCAGTACTTGAGAAACAACTGTATGTCCCCCAAAGATTTAGCAGGAGCTGGTAATAGGTAAGTATCATCAAGGATACTTGGAATTGTATTTTAACAAAAAAGCAAAATAATATCTCATTGCTGACCGTTGAATGACCTTTGTAAACACTTTCTGATGTTTTGTCCATGGACATGTTCTGATAAGACTGACATAACATCCAGCTAGTGACAACACTGTTCACTAGAAACATCTCACAAATAGAAGCAATCACTCAATGTTTTTGTTTTCTAAATGGAAAAAGAGAAATTTCACATTTGTTGTATTTAATTTGTCACACGGTAAAAATTGCGACTGAGATTGCCTTCTTAAGAACAGGAGTGCAAATGTTTAGCAGTGGTCAGCCTGTGAGATCCAGCAGTTGTGGTGCATCTCTGTGAGCAGCCTCTCTCCCTCTCTCAGAGTCGCCTGGCTGGCCCAACAGCTTCCTACACTGACACAAGTTCAGTTCAGAGTTGAACCTGTTTCAGGTTTCAAACCTTGCTGAGCTGTCAGGGTACGATGCAAGTTGCCTTTCGAAGGGCCAGGTAGCCAGTGACAACATCAGTGGGGAGCAAGCGGATGTAGGAGAACTCCTCAGAGGATGTGAAGCGTAGCTTTGTCTGGGGGTCTGTGTAGTTTGCCTGAGGATAGACAAGAGTATTCAGCATGTGCTTTATACAAGACATAATTTTGTTTCATTTAACAATGAGGATTTTAGCATCTTGATTACTCACAGGGAGTCCAGAGATGTCAGAGTATTTCTTGGTTGGCTTCAACGAGGGAGGGGCATCAATGTTGTAGTCTATGAACACAGATAGGTCATAAATTGAACTACTGATTAGAGCTGAACGATTCATCGATTAAATCGATTACTAAAATGCATCGAAGCAAATTCTTTGCATCGAGGCTTCATTTAATCCATATAACTATATGGCACACAGTTTCGCACGGACATTTATTACTGTTGCACATCACGCTTACACTCTTAACACGACGTGACTATGATGGCGCTGTTTGCGAAGTGGAGGAAGAGAGAGAAAATAGCGAGGGACAAAGAAGAAAGTGTCCAAAGTATGGGATTATTTCAAGCTAAAGAAAACAACAACAACAACAACTCTGTTATGTCACAGTCCGTGCACCATAAAACCGTGATTGCTGAGTTGAAGGCTAGCCAAAGTAAGCTGCAGACCTCAGCTGAAAATGTACACACGTGTGTTGTTGTTGGGCCATGAGTTGTAACCTCACAGTCATGAGTTAACTGGGTGTCGGGGAGCTGCACCTTTTAACTCCCCTGCAGCTCTCTCTGTAGCTCAGACAATTCCTGCTACCTGCGTGTGCTAATCCTTCCTTTCACCCAGATTCTTTGTCTTGTTACGGCCGCCGCTGGCTGCCTTAGAGTAGTTGTGTTTTGGATTTCTCTGAGCTGTATGCAAATCCCCACGGCAAGCACCTGTCGAGGATTGGTTCCCCTGGACCTGGAACCACCCACTTCCTGGTTGCTGTTTGCTGGCGTCTGATTGGTGTGGCCGAGGATCCTACCGAACCTGCCAACCAGAACTCACCAATCAACACCAGCTGGCCTACAAATAGTTTGTGTTCCTGCAGTTCGAGGCGACTGTGAGCCAGTGATCAGTTCGCCTTGTTGTTGGTTGTGTACCCCTGTGAATGTCTTGAGTGTTTAAATCTGATCTGTTTGTTGGTTGCCGGCTTAAGTGACTCTTGTCAGTAAAAACCTTTGTAAACTAGATTGTGAGTGGCACCCTTTAAGGGGGAAAATTGTTTGTTTGGTTACACTACATTCCTGTACAGCATGTAGGTACTGACCTCCTTTTGTTAAGTGTTTTTTTTGTCAGTACCTACATAGCCTCCTTTTGTTATGTTTTTTTGGAGACAACTCATTTAATTAAACTTCGACTCAACCTGATTTCAGTTGTCCTTACCACCTTAATTTAACCCAAATACCTTGTTACTGCCCTACCCTAACGAGCTGGGTTGTAACAGTCTTAATAATTGCTATCTTTATAATAACAAACAACAGCTGTTTCGTGTGCAGGATCGGTCATTTCCCATTTCACGTGTTTTCTTGACAAAACGTGGTTTGGAGACCAGCATAGGGTGATAGAGCCGCTGTCAGCTCATGTAGTGTGTAACCCCCTGTCACCGATCAGTCACGTAGTGTGAACGCCACAACGACTTCAGACTCACGTCGCAAGACAGCAAGTTGTGTAGTCTGAACAGCACAGCGATGTTTGTAAAGCAGCTGTCTGGTTGTTAGTCTGTTGATGTTGTTGGTCTGATGTTTGCTGTATGACACACTCTGAATTTCCGAAAGGACCAATAAATATCTATGGCCTATAAACGTGCACAGCCGCCACTGTCAAGCAAAAGTACTTCTTAAATGACGCAGTGATGAATCGTTGAAATAATCTACAGACGCTTCGAATAGTAAATCATCGTTAGCTGCAGCCCTACTACTGATTAAAACTACGACTAAGGGCATTTCTTGTACAAGTGAGGGTTACTTGTCACTGCAGTCTTATGTAATATTATAGCACTTTGATATGCAGTATACTGTAAAGAACATAATAATAAGATACAAAAACTCACAGTTCGGATCATTGAGCTTCCAGGGTAACGTCCGCTCCAAAACCAGAATCTGTTTGAGATTCTTCCAGGTCCTGTTCTTTTTACCTGCGGCTGCTCCACCGATCCCGGAGTGCTGGCGAGATTAAGAGAGGAAAAAATGGCAGGATGGTTAAATAAAAGGTAACAGAAGCATATAAACTTAAAATCCACATGGTCACAGACACTTACCATAAATGTGGGGTCTTTGAATGGTGGAGGTTTTGTTGTGGACTCTGTGATGGCAGTTGGACCGCTGTCTACTGTTCCCACCGCCTTCACCTCAGCCACCGACTCCACTGCTGGTATCTAATGACACATGAAAGACAACACCTCATCAAACAGTGATCACATTTGATTTTAAGCCACTTGTTATACATGTTTCGAATGTAAACAATGTCTGCAGGTGGCTAAACACATTGTAGCAATTTTAGATACAATTCAATGACTCTGTCTATGTAGCTTTTATTGCACACATGAAACTTTTAAATCAAGGGGGAAAAGATATTTATTCATGAGTAAAGCTCTGAGAAGTCATTATCGTCACACCTGAGCTTGTGTAGAAGAACAGTGATACATTGATGTCAGTGGGTCTCTGATCTTTATGCTTGCTGTCAAACATGGCCTCATGTCCACCAGCAGGATGTTAATATTTTGTCCTTTTGGCTTTAAAAGTGCATACTTAACTACAAAACATGTTTGTACATACTGCAGATTTTTTTCACTGTGATTTAGCAGTGCTTTTTGGCTTACCTGAAACAATTAGTTAATTGATCAATAGAAAATTCATCTGTAACTACTTTTTACATTTACTCATTTGTCAGACGCTTTTATCCAAAGCGACTTACATTTGAGGAACAACATACAATCATCAGAGCATCAAATACAGCACGAGATCTACAACTGACAATACATATTGATAAAAGCAGCAATAAATACGAGTAAGCACTAATGGCACATGTCGCATCAATGGGGTAAATACCTAGGGAAAGAAGTTAGAGTTAACAAAAAGTGCAATCAATACAAGATAATTGTAGGGGGCAGAAGAAGAAGAGCACAGGAAAGACTATTTTGATAACCAATCGGTTGTTTTAGTAAGTTTTCAAGCAACAATGAAAAACACACTCTTGTTCCAGCTTCTCAAATGTGAGGATTTGCTCCTGAATGCCTGTTAGATTTGGACTGCCCGGTTGGATAAAACAAGGAATATGAGCATGCCACTTTGGGATCTGAGAAACTAAAAATGGGCATTTTTCCCCAGGTCATGACATTTTTGATTGATCATAGGAAATAATCAGCAGATTGTTAAATAATGAACATAAAATTTGCAAAACTACTTTTCTTGCACTGCATTTCTCGCGTTGCCTTGCAACGTTACTCTAACCTCTGACTAACGTTGATAATGAGCAGCAATTACACAACATTACATGGACAGTGTAATCAATAACATCACTGTTGAACAGCAAATACAACATACAATAAAAAGTGTAACTTTACATACTAATGGACAGATATTTAATTATATAGATATATAATTCGATTACCTGTGTCTGTGTTATCGGTGTCACTGTCAGCTGTCCTTTCTTCTTCTTGCTGCTGGTGCTCCCGGTTACCTGCGGAGCGCCAGAAACCGCCGGACTACCGGGACGTTTCTTCCCCCGGAGAGCGGCAGAGCCGGCAACTGCCGGCTGGGCCCTGACGGTGATGGGGATCTGAGACGCCATTTGGTGGCTGTTTTATACGATGCAATGAAGCTTTCTCTCTAGAAACTCCGGATTGTAAACACTGCTTCACCCGGAAAAGGAAATGTTTAACTTCCTGTGACCTAATTCTTCTTCTTCTTCTTCTTCTTCTTCTTTGGGTTTTTACGGCAGCTGGCATCCATTGAGTTGCATTACTGCCACCTCCAGGCTTTATTTACCCTTTACTTTCATTCATACTAAATCTGCCTATGTAATCCAATATCCATTTCCTAACTTCCACAATCTCTCCCTACTCCACTAAACTTTTTACTGTATTATCTAACTGTCCTGTTTTTTTTAACTGTGTACAGTGACATAATTGTATGATACGTTCTTTTTCAAGTATTTATTAATAATGTGTTGTCTTCTTTTAAAACGTGTAACTCAAAAATACACAATACAAAAAAAGATTTAAAAGATTTCCCCCACCAGCTGTAACGGTAAGGCCAGTGTCTTGGTAAAAGGCTGTAAATTGTGCTGTCTTTAGTTCCAGTCATCACTGTGAAAAATGTTTCATCGAAAGAGCAGAAGGAGACTTTATCATGTAATCACGGTAACAAATTGAGGGAAGACTTAAGATGTGATTTGTGATGTATAACACTGCTCAAGAATAATACTGAAAAGGAAAAGCTCGCCTTGTTTTGTGTAAATGAGGTCACATCTCTCTTGGAAAAGGAGTCCTCCTCACCCAGTTGCTCAGGAATATGCCTTCTTTTCTCAAAAGTATGCCTTCATCAGTTTCATCATCATTGTGTTTGTACCCCTATTTTGTTTGCATTTATTTTCTTGCTTGTATTTTTTGTATTAGCTATTTGTCACAATGACGTAATCTACGTTCTTTTTTTACTTTTACTTTTTATAGGTTATATCTATTGAATCAGACAGCAGTTAATTATATTCACTTCTATGTTAAATATGGACAATCTTTGGCATTGCAGTGTGTGTGTGTGTGTGTGTGTGTGTGTGTGTGTGTGTGTGTGTGTGTGTGTGTGTGTGTGTGTTAGAAATATTGCAAAATATTGCCTGACAACAAACGAAGCTGTATGATCCATCGTCAGCTCTGCACTGAAGGATGCTTTGAGTACCACACAACACACATGGCCCCACCCCGTCTCCTCCTACACATTACAACGGAGGAACAACAGGAATTCCTCTACAAGCACTGGGCTCCTGATTGATCAGAATGGGATTCTTAAGCCAATTTATTCTGGAGGAAGAGGAGACAGTTTTGAGGGCTCCCTGGAAGAGCTCCCTGGAAGAGCTCCCCTGGAGACGGTCTGAGCATGTGTGGTGTCTAATGATGAAGACTCGAAAATCTGTGTTAAATGATACACTTAATCTGTTATTATTCTGCAATGACTCACCGTGCATTGTTATATGATAGAAGAATGTGAAGAATTTTTGTTTTCCATTTTAAGTCTGCAAATGACTCCAGTCTTTCTGTTATACTCTCTGAAGTGTTTTTAATGTTAATGCATATTTAGCTAGAATCAGAATACTTTGCTTTTATTTAAAGATGGAAGAGACCTGCTGAGTTCAGTGTTCACTTTACATCTTTTAGGGTTTTTTTCCATAATTGCAGTGGTTCTCAAAGTGGGGAATAGGGATAAAATTATATAATTTATTTTAACTAAAATTCCTTAAGAAAAAACACAATGACAGAAAGTTTGACTATTTGGGATTCATACACTTTCTATATTAATACATCTACAAGTGAAAATCCTTTCAGATGAGGGACGTTATCAAATAGGGGTTCGTGGTTTAACTTGTGGCAGTTTAGGGGTCCTTGACATGATAACGTTTGAGAACAACTGTTCTATTGTGAAGCTCATTTTGTAGTATTGAGCTGAAAATGACACATGCACTCAATGCAAAAAATACTGTCAGATCTGATTGGTTATCTCAACCAATCTGAGAGCAGAGGAAAACATGACCAAAATCAAACATTATTTTAGATTTTATTTTTTTTGGAATTGTTGAAATAATGATTTTTCAAATTTGAAATAGGGGAGGAAACTGGAGCAACCAGAGAAAACCCACGGGGAGTATAGAAACTCATACAGCAAAGATCAAGGCTGTAAATCCAACCCTGATCTTAGATGTGAGGCCATAGTGTTAAACACTGAGCTGCCGTGTGGCCCTAAACGTTTCTCACAGCGGACATTTTGACTCAAGTGTAAATGGTAAATGATCTGTACTTGTAGAGCGCCTTTCTAGTCTTTACGACCACTAAAAGCACTTTTACACTACATCACATTTACCCCATTCACACACTGAGGCAGAGGCTAAGGTGCCATCTGCCATCAGAAACAGAACAGAACAGAAATGCTACTGTACCACAAAATGAATTGAGGAAGGCATTTATATGGATTTTCAGACACTTCACAACATCAAAAGATGTATTGTTTGATGCCATTGCAGCCTCCAGTATCTTTTTTGGAGAGCCAAACTTCTGGTCAAGGTCTTTAATCATAATCATTAATAATGATGCATCCCTTTGCTCGGGGCCAGACGCCCGATGCCGCCCTAGGCGGCAGGTCTCTGGACCAGCTGTATTTGTGTTTTAGTAATTCTCTGTTTATTCTCTTTTGTTAAATAAATTATTTAAAGACAACGGTTTGTTGTAAGTCAATTATTTGCTCAGCCCATCACCAGGAATATAATTTCCACGACAGTTTTCAAAGAGGCCTTTGTGACAAGCCTCATGAGCAGGGCAGTGATGAGTTTGCTGGTCATCAACTCTGATGTGAAAGAAGAGGAATCATTTGACTGCGGACATATCTCCACCTTCTGAGTGTGACACCTGACTATCATTAGGTGCTGGAGTACAGGAGTAAGCGACTGCTCTGGGTTTAGAGGTTTCTTCTTCAGGAGCTCCTGAAGTCACCTCGACATTGCATTTGAGCAATTGCTGACTGTCAACACTGTCAATATCCATGAAGACGGATGCAGATACTTCAGCTACGTCAGCACTGTTGTGATTAGGTCTTTAATGTCAGTTAATGCACCTGCCACTTCCTCGCTGTGACTTTCTTTGTTTGATGGCTCCATCTCCATCCAGAGCAGCACCTGCTGCAAGAACTTTTCCACTGCGTCCTCTGTGATGGCATATGCCTTTGTCCTGACAGAGGCAGAGGCACTTCTCACCCTTGGGACTGTGGGGATCTTATATCTTATTATGTCTGGCCAGCCATCAGATTACTGTATATTTTATCAGTCAGGTCCTTTGAAAACTTCCTGATCATGCCACTGGATTTGATGTCTTCCAGTGTTTTGTTGGATTGTGCTGCAGCTTTCTCTGGTAGGTTGAATTTATTAAACAAGCTGTCAATATCTTTTTCGATGGTCTCAAAATCTAGTTGAGAAAACTGCTGCTCTTTCATGCTGATCAATGTCGAGTTGTTGGTTGGATCACTAGATGCACGTCTGGGCCTTGGAGAATAAGGAACAGTTCCTGGTAAAATGCCATCAATAGCTTCTTCAAAGTCATCCTCTTCCATGGGTTTAGGCTGACAGGACATAGAATCTGGGTAGCGACTCACAAAGAAGTCTGTGTGCTTTGTCTTCAGCTCAGGTCATCATTTTGTCAAACAGTTTTTTAGCAAACTTGAAAAAGCTGTGTTTGCGAACTGCTTGGTCGCCATTGGCGGTATCTTCTGATGGTGCGGCCTGTGAGACAAGAAAGTCTCTCACCCTGTGAAATATTAACCCCATATTAAAATGAGGTCTTGGTGAGCATCTTTTCTCACCACTGCTAGCTACATCTCCCAAGTCATAAGACTGCAGGTCATCAATTATAGCTTTGACAATTTCAGATGCTACATTATGAGCTTCCAGAGAGGTGCTGGGAGACAGGACAGCATTTTCAGCCTCTTTTATTTCATATTTTATCTCTTATAAACATAGTTTATTTCTCTTTCATTCTGTGATTATATTCGTAAGTTGTATATTGTCTGCTTGTAGCATCATCATCATTTAATTTTACAACTCAGTAAAATGAAATGAAAACATACCTTGTGAGCATGCAGTACTGATTGTCTGTTCGGTTTGTGTGAAGCAGAGTGTACTGGCAGCAGATGAAGTGGCGTTCTGAATGGCGTCACTATTGATCTGATGTCAAATGAGGAAGAGTGCAGCTTTGAGGGGGTGTCGTGGGAGATAGTGCAACCCAAAGTTTCAGCAGCCAGGAGCTCACAGACCTCTTTTTCACGCTGTAGATAAGGCTGGGGGCCAATCCAAAGTACAAAGCACTGCATCACAGGCGTCTGTACAATGGATGATGTTCTGACGGCCACCACCACGTGACCACACTTCGTCCTGCTGTTATAAGTTTAGTTTTGGGTTATGTTTGAGTTGTATTTTTTCCCTGTGTGTATCTGTTCTTGTCATGTTTCATGTGTTTTTTTATGTGCCTCTGTTTCTCTCGTTCCTTGTCCTTAGTTGTTTATGTCTTACGTTTTAGTTCTTTGCCTTAATTCTTAGTCTTATGCTTTAGTTCATGTTTAGTGTTTTTCCTGGTCTGTGTACTTCTGTATTGTCTATGAAGATTCTCAGTCATCCAGGTCATAGTTATCCAACGAAGGTTAAAGTCAAGGGCAACTGGACTTGGTTGAAGATACTGAAAGACATTTCGTCCCTCATCCAAAGGAGTTCTGACTGACTGGCAGGGAAACTCAGCTATTTAACCTCAGTGGGGTCGTTTGCCAGGGTCATCGATACTGCTGGTTCGTTAGTGTTCCTGGTTGCTGTCACGACAGTCGTTACAGTCGTTAGGACTAACAGTGGCCAAGACTGAACGACCATCGTTGGCATCTTCACCTGAGGCCAATAGGTTACGTTTGTTGAGTTTCCTGGGAAGTGATGAAAGGACAGCATTGTAAGTGGGGGATAAGTGGTGGCGTAGACCCCCTCCTCTGTTCAATGACGGCTTCTCGACCCGGGTGTAGATGGCTTCCTTGACACCTCTTTCAAACCATACATCTTCTCGGTCTAAAATGTGCACCTGGTGGTCCTCAAACGAGTGTCCTCTGTCCTTCAGATGTAAGTAGACTGCAGAGTCTTGACCTGAG